ACAATTATGGTAACAGCTACATATGGTTTAACAGTGTTAGTATGTTCCTTGATAGTATCTTGAAATGGAGAGGAGGCAGGTTATGGGCAGATTTTTTCCTATTTCTACACCTCGTCCTACTGCAGAACCTGGAATCACATTGCACATGTTAGTCATTGAGGTATCCTGAATACTATAAAAAAGTATTTCCCCAAGTAAATGTTTAAGATTTTTTTGAAGTTCTACAAGCCTGTCGTGTTTCTCAGATGTATTGGTAATTTGTTGAAGAATTGTATACCTGAAGAGAATGTACTCTTTTGGTATAATGTGCTTGTACACATTGGTTGATGAAGGTTACATGCTTGCCTTGTGTTATAGGGGTGTAAGCTTGAGTTGAATTTGAAAAGTGTGTCATTGTTTACTAGATTTTTCTTTACAAACATGATACTTCCACTGCCTTGTATTTTTATTTATGAAGTTATGTTAAGTATTTTGAAATGAGGTCTGCAGGACTCTGTTCTTTTTGTTTGTTATTGTTCAAATGATTCTCTTTTGTATTTTGGATGTTATTAAGTATAATTTATATATAATGTATAATGAATATTATTAAGAAAACTGGTGCTAGACAAGTACATTGCTAGGATTTTTGCCCTATCAGCAATGGAGGTATTTATAATTCATTTTGGAATCTTGCTGCATAATTGTAATTGATTATTTCATTTGTGAAGATACACCATGCAAAATAGTCTTAAAAATCCATAAATCCATGTAGGATAATCTAACCTGTACATGTCATTTATTCAGCTCTATTTGTTTAAAAGTATAGTAATTATATTATTTTGTATGGTATTGGACAAGTTTTGTAATATCTCCATTGTTTGCAATACCCTGGTATTCAAAGTGTCTCATTTTCAAATATACATAATTCATTATTCTTTGCATTTCTAGAATAGGTACACTCTCATTAGTGTATGATGAAAATGTAATTAATTTTATTTGCTTAGGTGTACTAGTTACGTTTCCATTCTGGAGGTGATCTTCGATTTATAACTGGCAAGATGTAAATGAATTTGACTTTACTAACATTAGAAGATGGAATTGTATCAATAGTGTTTCCTACAAGTCCAGTCCTCTTGTCTTCTCAAAGAACATTTCAAGAAAATCTTATTACGAAGTGTGCCAGTGAAATCTTTTTGTCCATTGATGCTGCAAGTGCTGCTAGTCTCGATGATATTGTAGACAAATTATATAATATATCTCAAATAATAATTGCCTTGTTTAAAAAAACGTGCCTAACAAGCACTGGAAATATATTAATAAATAATCAAAACAATTTTGAATGTGAACAATTAAAAAACTTTTGTTTTGGAACGTGCAATAAAAGAACTGTGTGTAATAAATAATATACTCTGAATATTTAAAGTTTATTTTAAAAAATTAGAAATATTAAGATAGGTATAGTACTTTTTTGGATAGTTCACATACTTCAGTGCTACAAAAGGTTAATATATTATAGATGATTTGAATTAAATGTAGCCAAATTTGAATTGGTGAATGAATCATCTGAACAATAAATCCTGTAATGATTGATAATTATATCTAATCCAATTTTTCTACATATACCGTCAAAATTCTGTCATCCGTAACAATTCAGTATTCTTCTGCCCATGTGTAGGTTTCAATGAGGATAGTTTGTGTGTGCACTTCGTGCAAATATTGTCATGATGTGCAGTAACCAATCAGATAGCTATAGAAAATGAAAAATCTTATATTGCAGCCTAAACAGAAGAAATCTGTGTCAATTGTTTATTTTAAAGTTAAGATTGCCTAAAACTTGGGAGAAGCAGGCCAACTTAAAATTGTTATATCTTCCACAAATTTTCATTTCATATTTACTGGTATGTTATTACTAACTACAAGATGAATCAACTTGCCAAACATAAAACTAGTATAATTTATAAATTTATTTCATTTTCCTTGGTTTTCAAAGACTTACGCAAAATAGTCATGGAACCAATGATTGATATTGTATTAAAATTACAAATCTATTTTTGGCTAAAAAGTGTCACCAAAAA